CTGTGTTAATCCACCTGGTTGAGAATTTTCCTCTCCTTCATTTTCCCTCCACCTTTACAAGCATGATATCTTTCTCCAAGAAACAGCCTCTCCTAACAATATGCCCAAAGTACGAGAGATGAAGCTTTGTCATTCATTGCTTTCAAGGAGCAATGTTCTTTTGGCAGTTTATGGGATGTTTAGTACTCCTCCAACATCACAACTCAAAAACATCATTTCCTCCTTATTTGTCATCCTTATTCATTGTCCAGCTCTCAAATGCATAGCAAGCGATCAGAAAAACCATGACCTGAATCAAGCACACTTTAGTCCTCAAACCAATGTAATTGTTACTCAGTAATTTAGAGTGGTTCCTGACTGCAGCTTTCCCAGCACAATATGTCTCCTAATTTTATGACTGCTGGTGCCAAGTATACTTATTGTGTATCCAAGTAAGATGAAGTAATTGGCAGTTTCAATCTTTTCTCTATCGCTCATGATCTTGCCTTTTGGTCCAATGGTGAGAATTTTTGTCTTCTTGATATTGAGATGCAATCCATATTGAAGGCTGTATTAGTTGATCTTCTACAGCAAGTGCTTCAAGTTCTCCTCATTTCCAGCAAGCAAGGTTGTGCCATCTGCGTAATCCAGGTTATTAATGAGTCTTCCTCCAATCTTCATGTTACATGCTTCTTCACAGAGTCCAGCTTTTCAAGTAATTGTCTTAGCATATAGTTTGAATAAGTATGGAGAAGGGATACAACCCTGACACACTTTCTTCTCAATTTTAAACCATTTGGTGTTTCTTTGCTCTGTTTGCACAACAGCCTATTGGCCTAGGTATAGGTTTTGCATGGACACAAGTAAGTGTTTCTGGGATTCCCATTCCTCTCAATGTTAGCCTTTACTTGTTATGATCAACGCAGTCAAATGCCTTTGAAAAATCAATAAAGCATAAATAGATATTTTTCTTGTATTCTTTACTTTCAGCTGGAGCCATCTGACATCATTAATGGTGCCACAGCTATTTCAAAATCCTGCTTGAATGTCTGGAAATTCTCTGTCTATGTACTGGCCTGAAAGCCAGAACAGAATTGCTTCTTAGGCAACATGCAACATTCTTGGAGCAGAAAGGCAGAATCTGTTTGTTTATGTATCACTGCTTTGAGCCAGGCTTTGACTGATTTGCTCAAGACTGAACAACTGTCTACCTTCCTGTGTTACCACCATGTGTATAAAGAGGATGTCTGCATTGCTTCCAGCTTTCATAAGAACCTTTATATGATTCCCCCAAAATTGTAGTTAAAATGTCAAATACACTTTTTTAAGCATCTTTCTAAGCACAGGAAACATACCTCTCACAAGATTTTCAAAATGAGTCTGTATTTAGCAAAAATTAAAAATCACTGGCTTCTGAACTTTCATTTCCAAGTATTATCACACTACTAACATTTTATCAGTTCATCAAAAGGAAACTCTGCCTTTCCTACATAAGCAGTCTTACTAAAATAGTAAAAGGCAAACACTGATCTCTTAATCTTTCTTGAGATTAATAGAAATGACAGATATGTGGGTAAAGGTGACGCTTAGTTTGGCTACATTTTGGATTATTATAATAAAACTACTCATTATCTGGTGGAGGGGGAACAAACCCAAACAACAAAATACTAATGTCTAAGTTTACCAGCTCCATATATTTATGAAGTGCATCACTCAGGCCTCTAGATTCTGAACTAAATGTAGAGCCACTATTTGGGATCAACCTTTGTGTTCATTTCACTTGGTAGGTCTAAGGAAGATGATCACAGATGCTTATGGTTACAAAAACATGACATGGCTAAATTCGTGGGTTATAGTATCTTTAAAAGGTCAAAAGATTGTGTTACTCCACAAAAATATCTTCCTGAATCTCTTTTTTTTCTCTCAGTTCATTTCTCCACACCAGTCACTCTACGTGCCTCACAATCTTTCTCTCTCTTTTTTCTTGATGATATTCTTGATGATCTTTCTCCCTTACCTGACCATCATACAGAATGCAAGTACCTTTTTATTATTTGTCACATTTATTGAAGAGTTTTATGGCATTTTATGTTCATTATTGTTATTTTTTTAATATGCTTTCTCCCTCTGTCATAGGTAGCTGCCCTCTGGCAGGTTTTCAGAGTCTGTAAATTGCAGGGGAGGAGATTTCCCTTCTCTCTCTTTCCATAAAAATTACATTGTTTCTGGTTGTGGTGGTTCTAGACTGATTTTCAGTTCTTCTCTTTCTTTCCTGTGGATTAGCAACTTTCAAAAAAATTCCACCCCCATTTTTCCAGGCTTTCCTTTGCCTTTCTTCCCCTCACACCCCAGAAAGTTCTGTTTTTACTTGTGTTGGTTGGTGTCAGGTGCTGTCAAGTTGGCTCAAATTCAAAGCTGCCCTTTGCACAACAGAACAAACCCTGGCCTGACCTAAGTGTCCCCACGGCCTCACCATCCTGTGTTCCCTGCTGTGCTTGGTGTTGCAGTCACCCTGTCAATCCATCTGCTGAGGATCTTCCTCTTTCCTGTTGAGCCTCTATTTTTTCTAGACACAATGTCCTTCTCTAGGGACTGCTCCTTCCCAACTAACATGCCCCAAATATGTGAGATGAAGTCCTGCCACCTTTGCTTCTAAGGAACACTCTGGTTGCATTTCCAAGATAGATTTGCTTGTCTTTTGGCAATCGTGGTATGTTCAGTATTGATGTACTGGAGAGCGGGAGAATTGCTGCCCAAGCTAAAGGGATGAAAATGGAGAAGGTGGGGTGACAGACAGCTGCCAGGATCTGAGCCGGATGGACTGAGCAAGTCCTCATCCCCAACAGCTCAGAGCTCAGGTTTCTTTTCTGGGCAGCTGGCTTTTCCAGACTGCCTGCAATATACTCTGCAAAGTTGGAGGAGGGGCCATGGGTACATCTGAAGAGGATTTTATTTGAAATGAGCTACTATCTCTTAAATATTATCTGGAGAAACTGGATGCAACAATCAACACTGCACAGATGGGAGTGGTGAAGGAACTATATCCATTTCGCCATGACAGATTTTCAAGGCCAAAATCTCAAGACTGCTGGAGGGCTGCCTGGTGTAGGCAGTGACGAAAGGGCCCTATTAACCAGAATGTATCTGATAACTTGCCTGTCATATTACCCTTCCATCCCTCACACTGTATTGGCAACTTGTATTCCATAGTCTTTCCTGTGCTATCTCCCTCTCCCCCCACATCCACACCCTACCCCCTCCAATGTGCCTGGAATTTTGGACTTAGCTATTTTTAAAACCGTCAACTCAATAGCCACCTCCCTCCCAGCTGTCCAGTACTCCAGCCACCCGCATACACCCCTTCCCCCAACACCAAACCTTCTCTGTCTCCCTGACCTCTGGGAGTTTGCAACCAGGCTGGAGACCTGTGGGAGACATGGACAAAGGGACGGGGAACCCCCTGGCTGGAGCTGACCAACAGAGTAGAGAGTCATGGCTGGAAAATTGGATAGCAGAGTAATGTTTGACCTCTGGAAACTGTAAGTTAAAAAGCAAATCCAATTGCTTTAATAAACTTTTGGTCTCAATTCAGACTTTCCTAAAATCTCAGACAATCTGTTTGGGGGTCTGTGAACCCAAAGTTTGATTCCCCCCGCCCCCCATGCTACAAGCTCCATTTTTCCTTCTATCTCCATTTCTTTCTGGCCCATGGCCATTGGACGCTTAATCCCCCTTCTCTCCCTGGCAGGCTTCCCTCCTTCCTTGCCTTCTTCTCTCTGACTTCTGGAGAAGTTTTGGGAGGAGCTCCTCACACCTTCCATTCTGTGGTTTTCTCACCAAGGCCCTGCATTAGCCTCATCTGATTACTCATGACGCCATTCCCTTCACCCAACTTTCCATCTGCACCCTTCACGCCGTATTCCCAAGGGTGAGGCTACCCATTATCATGGTGATTTTCACCCACAACTCCTGTTCCTCCATCCTATTCTTCCCCATGCATGACCCTTATCTCCAGATAAGAGCTGGGACAGGAAGACATTGCTCTTTCCCATCCAGAGTCCCCATCCAAAGAGGGATGGAGAATTTCTAAACCTGCAAAAGGGAAGAATAATTAGAAAAGTATTTTTCAGTCGGATTTTGGAAGAATATTAGAACTATTGACTAAAAAACATCCAATATTGATGTGCATGTGGGAGGGGTTATTACTGTGGCTGTCTGGAGCAGCTGAAAACGGTTGATCCCCTTATCATTCGAATATTGACCCTCTAGAGAGGAGACAGGTATTCTGTGGTTATGCCTTTTCATTGGAAATTCTGATACAAATGAAAAAACAAAAAATAATAATGGCTCCTAGAAGGTGTCCTCTTCCTGATAGAGACAGGTAAATACAACACATACTTCTGAAGTAGCTTCAGATCTTAATTCTGTTTGAGAGGTTCTTAGTGGTGCAGGGTTAAGCCCTTATCTATTAATAAAAAAGATAAGGGCTACCCAGTAGTTTCTCCATAGAAGCTCCCATAAAGATCGCTGTACTGGAAACTCTCCAGGGCAGATCTCCTCTATCTTACAGGAACACTGGGAGTCAGAATCACACAGTAAATTCTACTCAAGCCACTGGGCCTGAATCCTTCCTCTATGATTAAATTTTTTAAATTCTTGTTTGGTAGTTTAGGATGGGTCAACACAGTGGACTCTGTCCCCCGAGTCCACTCAATTCTCCCTCCACCCCCAGCCAAAGCTGTTGCACAAGGGACCTGAAATAACAGTAGGGCATGGAGGCATAGCAGTCACGCTTTGAGTTTAGGGAGCCCTCACCTCGTCACCCTCCCAAGCTCCAGTCTTCTCTTCCTTTTCTTGATTTCCTTCACATAACCTTGACCAATCTTCAACTCTTCTTCTCCTCTATGCCTAGGCAAACTTCTTTTTTTCAGTCCCTTACAGGACTTCTGGTCAAAATTCACTAGGTAGGAGAGCCATCAGCTGGAAAGAACCGGAGCCTGGGGGGACCTGGATGGAAAAGTATGGGGGATCCAGGACAATCCCCTGGTCTTTGGTTCCCCCATGGTAGCCCCCCAACTCTAAGCATTCTCACTCTCCTGCTGCTTCTCTGTGGATATGGTAAGGAAGAGTTTGGGGGGATACAGAGGGTGAGGTCTCCATGTAGGGGTGGGTATGTAAGCAGGGAAATGGGGAGAGTGGGCTGTGGGGACTACAGTGGGCAGGTGACATTATCAGAGGAAGTGACATCAAAATAACCCTGAAGTTATGAAGCAATTGGTTCAGCATAAATGTATTAGTATCCATAAAAATATATTTGTATAACTAACAAGACTTTTTTGGTAAGGCCATTTTATATGTATCCATATACCTAAAGGGCTAAAACTCTATATTAATTTACTTTTTGAACCTTCTAATGCCCTGTGGTCACTAGTTTCCAATTATGCTTCTGATCAAGTGATTTGTTCTCCAAGTATAAGCAAATACTGTTGTTTTTCTTGTTCCTAGTGTTTTTTATAGTCTCTGATTTTGTAAAATTTTCCACTGTCTTAGTTACAATATTATATAGCTAGTATTTATGTGAACCCCTATCAAAAATAACTACTTTGAGAGTGAAGTAGTAGTAATTAAAAAAAAAGATGTTTTAGTCAGTAACTAACAATGTAACAATGTTGTAATCAATGCAGAAAGATTTTACAAAACAATTTTGTTAGTATGTAGCCATTTAATCTATAAGGTAATTGCATTTTAACAACTATTTTATCACACATTAGTCTATGATTAAAACTGATAATGACTGTTACTAGGGATTCCGGATTCTGTCTGGTCTGGTAAAGAAAGAAGCGCATGCAGTGATGGTGCGACAAAACAGGAGTGACCACACTGAGCCACGCCAGCTCTGGTGGCACCACTGTGTGATGTGGGAGAGAGGGGTGCCTCACCCTCAGTTAGGTGCATTTTCATTTCCACTCAATTTGGGAATGGGCGCTCGGCCTAGAGTGAAGAGCTTTAGTGGGTTTATTCAGTTTTGGTAAAACTGAGTGAAAATGGGACGGGAAGAGACCTCCTTTCCATCACCCCTCGTCCACGGGGTGAATGGTGAGAATCTCCAAGTGAGATCTGAGAGAGTTGTGACTAGTGACTGTCTCACCATGCTCTTCCGTCCACCCTCAGCTCATTCTCAATGCAAGATCCTGCGCTGCAACGCCGAGTATGTCTCGTCCACGCTGAGCCTCAGAGGAGGCGAGTCCCCAGGGGAGCTCGGCGGCGGCCGGGGTGCTGGGCTGGGCTCCGGCGGCCTGTGCCGCGCGCTCCGCTCCTACGCGCTCTGCACGCGGCGCACGGCGCGCACCTGCCGCGGGGACCTGGCCTTCCACTCGGCCGTGCACGGCATCGAGGACCTGATGATTCAGCACAACTGCTCGCGCCAGGGCCCCACAGCCCCGCCCCCGCCGCGGGGCCCCGGCCTTGGGGGCGCAGGACCCGCCCGCTCCTCTGGGCCCCCGGCCCCGGACCCCTGTGACTACGAAGGCCGCTTTGCCCGGCTTCACGGCCGGCCCCCGGGCTTCCTGCATTGCGCCTCCTTCGGGGACCCTCACGTGCGCAGCTTTCACCACCACTTTCACACGTGCCGCGTTCAAGGGGCTTGGCCCTTGCTGGATAACGACTTCCTCTTTGTTCAAGCCACCAGCTCCCCCGTGGCTTCGGGGGCCAACGCCACCACCACCCGGAAGGTCAGGATTGCTCCTCCAGAGCCAGCCTTTCCTGGTCCCCATTGTTCTGTAGCAAGGCTCCCTTCTCCTTTCCCCGTCTTGTTCAACAGGCTCCTTAAAGCACTTTCCCTTTGATGAGAATTTCACCCAAGCCTTAGTGTATGTGAGTCTCCCAGGACTCCTGGCGACCTATGAACAACGGACCTGAACCTTGCCCTGTCCTGCATGCAACATCCTCACCTCCTGATACGCTCCAGCCCATTGTTACTGTCAAGTGTCGGTCGTCTGCTTTTGAGGGTCTTCCTGTCTTTCTCTCACCCTCCACCCTTCCCGCATGATGTCTTTTCGCAAGGACTGCCCACTCCTAACGACATGCCCAAAGTATGTGAGCTCAAAGTTTCACCACAAAGAGTATCCTAGTTGCCGTTTCTCCAACATTATTTTTTTTTTCAATTTGGGCACTCTATCAGATATTCAGTACTTTTCTCCAGCGCCACAACTCAAAAGCATCGATTCTTTTTTCTTTTCTTTCTTTTTTTTTTTTTTTTTTTGTCTTCCTTATTCACTGCATGACTTTCAACTCAAGCATAGAAAACACTAAGGAGAAAGTTAGGCTGAGGAGTTTCAGAAGGAAGAATCTCTTGTGGAAGTTGCTGACAGGAAAGGGCTACAGTGGGATGAAGCGATAGTGACACATATGTGAGAGAAAGGGTCAAGGGGTGAGGGTCATGATAAGCCTTGGACAGACAGGTCAGAAACCTAACTATGTTATGAAACCTGGTCAGGTGGGTGAGGAGTGAACTGAAACCCAGATAAATTGTTTTTCCTCTTGCCCTCACAGCTCACCATCATATTTAAAAACATGCAAGAATGCATTGATCAGAAGGTCTACCAGGCCGAAGTGGACAATCTTCCTGCAGCCTTTGAAGACGGTTCTATCAACGGAGGCGACAGGCCTGGGGGCTCAAGCTTATCCATTCAGAGCGCTAACATTGGGAGCCACGTGGAGATCCGAGCTGCCTATATCGGCACAACAATAATCATCCGGCAGACAGCCGGCCAGCTCTCCTTCTCCATCCGAGTAGCTGAGGACGTGGCCCAGGCCTTCTCGGCTGAGCAGGACCTGCAGCTCTGTGTGGGAGGCTGTCCCCCCAGCCAAAGACTCTCTCGGTCAGAGCGCAGTCGCCGGGGAGCCGTATCCATTGATGAGGCCAGACAGTTGTGCAAGAAAGGGCTGCCTGTGGAAGACGCTTACTTCCATTCCTGTGTCTTTGATGTTTCGACCTCTGGTGACCCTAACTTTACCATGGCCGCTCAGACAGCTCTAGAGGATGCTCGAGCCTTTTTGCCAGACTTAGAGAAGCTGCACCTCTTCCCCTCCGATGCTGGGGTTCCTCTGTCCTTGGCCACCTCCCTAGTCCCACTCCTTTCTGGACTCTTTTTTCTTTGGTTTTCCAGTCAATAGGTAGGCCACCAATCCCATGACTAGTTTGGGGATAATATGGGGATAGAGATACTGTCAGAAGAGAATATAAATAAACACTGAAGGAAACAGTAGGATCTTGGGAACACTTGAAATAATGACAGAATCTGAAATGATCCAGAGTCAGATAAGGATAAACAAGGACTCTGGGTAAAGATTCTCTAGGGACACTTTCCCACATTTCTCGATCCCCTTTACAGTAAGCAGAGTGCTCCAGTCTATATACTTCTGAAATGACTTGTGATGCCTTAGAGTTTCCCGGCGCGTTGATGCTTATAGTAAGGGAGCTCTGGTGGCCTAGTGGATGGGGAGTTATATTGCCAACCCAAAGGCAAGTGGTTTGAATTCACGAGCTGCTCTGATGGAGAAAGATAGGCAATCTCCTCCTGTGCAATTGACAATCTTTGAAAACCCCCTGGAGAGTCAGCTATGAGTCAGTTCTGACTTGAGGGCAGTAAGTTGAGTTGTTGAGTTTGATGATGATAAAAACCAACCAAACAAACAAAAAACCAAACCAACCCTTCTGATAGAGACTGATGGAGACTTCTGAGGGGGAGAATTTAAGGAGGAGGATATGCTAGCTGCCATGCTTTTGCAACATAAGATAACACACATAGCAGGCATAGGGGACTGTCTGGAGGGGGTTGTGTTGTTTGCAAAAACTATGCAATGCGCACCTTACCCGAGTAAAACAGTTCTAAGAAACTAAGACTTAACATTTTCTCATGGAAGAGGGGAGAAAATGACTAGGGAAAGGAATCTGATGAATATATGTGAGTGTGGGTAACATGTTATCTATTTTGTTGGTTCAGAAAAAGTAGGTGCCGTCTGGATTTTAGGTAGAAGAGTCTCTGCCTTTGGAGAATGGTGCAGATAAGACAGAAGTTGTCATCCATGCCCACTGATCTGTCATTAAACTCTGGAGGCTCCACATCCTCCTCTGCTGCCAGTGTCTGATCTCTTTACAAACACGTAAAAACAATATGGAATTCTTAACTGACCACCCTGCTATTCTCACAAACACAATCCCTGTACTTTCTGAAACGTCTCTTCATTCCTCTCAAAGAGGGCCCGGATATCGTCCCTCCCCTCCGGGAGTTTACAGATTATTAAAGAGACAAAATGGAATTACATGAAGGGATAATGAGTGAGTGTAATTAGTCACTAAATTCCACAATCTGGTTAACTCAGCAAGGAAGATGGATGATGATAACAAAAGGTACAATGTGATGACAGAGATGAGATTTAAAAAGAGCTTTGAAGGCTGGGTAGGATCCAAATTGTTAAGGTCCTTCCAGGCAATGGAAACCACCCGAAGTTATGCTATTCTATGAGGAGATACGACTGATGAAATGAACAGGGAGTAACAGAAAAGAAAATTGGATGATGTGAGGTCACATTATGGGGTGCCCTAAAAGTGAGGCCAAGGGGCTACATTTTCTTTCTTTTTCTTTTTTTATTTTATTAAATTTTATTAATTTTAATGAACATTTACCGGGTACATTTTCATTAATAGCTAATGTTTATTGAGCATGTAACATCTACTCAGCAATGCCCTCAGCACTTCTACGACATGGATTCATTTGATCTTCACAACAATTCTCCTTGTTCCTTTGCTTCCTTAATCATGCCCCATCTTAAATAATATTGTTTCTGTAATCACTTTCTCTTGGTGAGAAAGGGGGGAAAGTCCCATTTCTATTTACATTAATAGGAGGAAGTTAAAGTACAAAAAAATTAAACAACTTGCCAAAGTCACAAAGTTAATAAAACACAATGCCAGAATAGAAATCTTAGCTGTCTGGATTTAGAGCCTGAACTGTTTCCTGCTACACTATACTGTAAAGGCGAGGAAATAGTCATTGACGGTTTTGGTGTAAGGGTGGGCAGAAAAAAAAGAATTCCATCAGTGCAAGCTGCCAAAAAAGTGAGTTTCTTCTTTCCCCAAAAGAAGCTTACAGGAGAGAGGAGAGGAGGAGGGAAGCCCGAGGTGAAGTGATCCAGTTTGAAGAGAAGACTGAGAAAAGAGGCTATTCTTCAAGTATAGTTGTTCCAAAGAGACAGTGTTTTGAAATAAACTTTTGAGCAAATTTCATGCAAAACTATGATGGAGAGAACCTTATGCACTGTCTCTCCCACCTCTCCTCCTCTTTCTGGTCTTAATTTTGCCCTAATCCTTAAAGAAGTTTATAATCTGGGAATTTGTCTCTGATCAATCAATCATCCATCATCTATTTACCATTTGGAGAGAGAGAGAAAAAGAAAGAGAGAGAGAAAGAGAGAGAGAGAGAGAGAGAGAGAGAGAGAGAGAGAGAGAGAGAGAACGAGCAGTGTGTATCTGACAGGGCTTTCTATCTGATACTATTTCAATTTTTTTCCCTACAATTTTTCATCCTATTTTCCTTCCTCTCCACACCCCGCCATTCCCTCGCCATTCCCTTAAAACAGCCCCTATACTTTCTGAAATGTCTCTGTACTCTGCAACTTTTAGTTATTTAAGTAAAATGATCTGCTCTAATGGAGGGGAATGGGGAATATAACCAGGGATGATCTTTCATACACAGCTATTGTTGCCACGTTCTGTCAAGTCAGAACCAATTTATAGACCCTCCAGCAATTTTTCAGAGGCAATAAATCTCATGGGTAGAGATTGCTTATCTTTTTTTCCTTCAAGTAGCTGTTGGATCTAAACCACATATCTTTCGGTTGGCACTAGAACTTCCTACAGAGAACATTTTAGTTCAAAGCATCTTTTAAAAGATTGCTCCTTAAAAAACAAAACAAAACAAAAACAAACAAAAAACCCCAAACAATTGCTCCTTACATTGGTTTTCCTAATTCAGGTATGGAGATTTTAAGTCATTTAAGAATAATTCCACAGTCACTTGATAAATTAGATTCTTTGATGGCTTTTGTTATACGTAGGTAAAAAGATATCCTTTGGTGTATTTAAAAATGGTTGTTCTATGCCATCAAGTTGGAACTGACTCATCGCAGACCCTCCAGTGGGTTTTCATAGGCAGTAAATCACATGCAGCTTGATTGCTCATCTTTTTCTTGGGGAGCAGCTGGTGGATTAGAACCTTGTACCTTTGGGCCGCCAGCACAACTCCTTACCCCTAAGCCATCAGAGCTCAAAATAAGCATAAGAAAAGATGCTGAGCATTATTAGTAATTTGTTGCTGCTCTTAGGTGCTGTCTTGTCGGTTCTGGCCTAGAATGACCTCATGTACATCTAAATGAAACCCTGCGCAGTCCTTTGCCATCCTCATCAGCACTGTTAGCTTTGAGTCCATCTCACCAGAGATCCTTTTCCACTAACTTCTACTTTACCAAGTACAGCGTCCTTCTCCGGGACTGGTACCTCCCGAGAACTTGTGCTGCCAACCAAATTAATAAAAAGAAATAAACTACTGATATCAAAGTTTCACTACCCTTGCTTCCGGTGAGAATTCTGGCTCTATTTCTTAAAAGTCAGATTTGTTCATTCTTCTGGCATAATATAGTATATTCAACATTCCTCACCAATATAAGTGTATCCATTATTCTTCAATCTTCTGTATCCATTGGCCATTTTTAGTAATTGGTGTTGTTGTGTGCCATCAAATTGGATCCAACTCATAGCTGACCCTCTGATAGATTTTCAGAGGCAGATAATCATTTGGGAGGAGATTTGCCCATCCAGCTCCCGCGGAGCAGAAATGGATTTGAACTGCGCACCTTTAGGATTGCGGTGCAGCTTCTTGCTACAAGGCCACTGGGGCTCCCTATTAGTAGTAGTAATTAGAGAAATGCAAACCAAAAGGACAATGAGAGATCACTGTACATCCACGAAAACAACAGCAAAAGACCCAAACCAGTTTGCCCTAGTCAACTTTGATTCATTGTGACTGCGTGTTTCAGAATTGAATTGTGCTCATGAGAAACTTATACATAGTCCAAGAAGCAGATGTACAAATTGAACAAGGGAACACTGCATGGTTTCAAATCAGGAAGGGTGTGTGTCAGGATTGCAGCCTTTCTCTATGCCTCTTCAATCTGTATTCTGAAAAAATAATTTAAGAACTTGAAGTATATGCAGAAGAACGTGGCAGTGGCATGGATTTGAGGCACACTCATCAACAACCTACGTTAGGCAGATAACACAATCTTGCCTGCAGAAAGTGAAGACTTGAAGCATTTACTGAAGAAGATTGAAGACTACAGCCTTCAATTTGGATTGCATCTCAGCATCAAGAAAACAAAAATCCTCACCACTGGACCAATAGGCAACATAGAGAAAATATTGATGTCGTCAATGATTTAATTTTACTTGGGTCCACAATCAACACCCATGGGATTAGCAGTCAAGAAACAACAACAACAAAAAAATGAGTTGCACTGGGAAAATCTGCTGTCATGGGCCTCTCCAAAGTGCTAAAGTTTCAAGATAAAGAGGAGCAGTCTTCTTCTATTAAGATATACGGCCTCAGAAACATGAGGGTGGGTCATAGTGATGAGTTTAAAGCCATATCCCGCTCTTTAAAAAGTACATTCTCATCACTGTCAGCAGATGGCGCTAGTGACTAAAACAATAACTGAACACCTACTAATAGATGAGTTGAGTGTGAGCTTTTTTGAGGGGGGGGAATTAATAAATATTTAACGTAGCTAAATAGAATCTCTTGGGGGCAAATGAAAGTGGTGGTGCTCAAAGAGAGGAGCGAACTGGGGTGGGGGAGGGCTGGGCGGGGAGAAAAGTGCAGCAATGAATTAATGGAAATCCAAAATCTCTGTAAATGTTCATTAAAATTATTTTTTAAAAAATGGTGGTAGTGTTGTTTTTGTGTACTGTCGAGTCAAAACCGACCCACAGCTTAACTTCCAGGAAGTTTTCAGAGTCAGTTAATAGTAAGGGAGGGCATTGCCAACTCTTTTTTTTTCCACCACCTCTCCCTTGCTTCTGAAGTAGTTCTCAACATTGCCAACTCTTCTTTCTCTCA